TTGAAGAAGAAGATGCGGCAGACGAAAGAAGAGATGGAAAAGTATAAGGACGAATGTGATGAATACGTGAAAAGGTTACAAAACGAAGTTAAACGCCGGGAAGAAGTGAGTACCCCTTTTTGGGGAATTTTTTTGAGATTTTGTGGGCTGGAACAACTGCACCGCTCTTGTTTAGCTTCCACATATTAAGAAGTAAAGAAAACTGAAATTTTTGAGGTTAGCTCAGCCACCCTGTTCCACTGAATCCCATCGACAGATCGGCTGTTCACCCTGTTATCGATTTTTCTTGTTGTGTTGATGAATTTTATATGATAATGTGACGAAAATGTACTTTGGTCCCTTCGTGTGGCTCGTGTACCGCTGCAACTTAGTACCTTCTTTCGAATTTCCATTTAATTTTTTCTGTATACTTGTCAGTTTGGGCCATCTTGGCAAACAAACTACATAATCTTTTATTTTTATTTCATCTAGTTAATTGGTCAGGAGGATCTGAAACGTATTTTCCCCTTTGCTTTACAAAAGTGGGAAACTTATGGTAATGATATTTATTTTTGGGTGGGTGAGATCATTATCTTAAATATATCTGAGGTGACATAACCTGTACATTGTTTGCCACCTCTGTCATAGGTGACTCATAAACAAGGAATCAGCATATATTTGCTTTCTCTTTGGAACTGGTGATCATTAGAATCCATTACTTTTACACAATTAAAGTTTGGTTGGTTCTAATTCTTTCTAATTATTTACTAGAAACTAATTCATATTACTAAAAACCACTTGCTGATTTTCACAGTCATTTAAAATTTATACAGCGGGTGACCTATTGGTTTTTCAGTTATTGTTATTTCTACTCAGACCCTGAATCCGGCTGTCTAGTGCTTTCCAAACTTAATATTCCATCTACCTAAACAATATTCCCATTGGAGTACTTGATTACATCTATGAAAGTAAACTTGTTATGTATTTTAGGCCGATCTTTTTTAAAAGCCATTCATTTTATTGTAGTGCTAACAGATTTATCTCAGAGCTCTCACTAAGAGGAAAGATAGTCAAGTTGTTCCAAGTATTGATTTTGTGAGGGAGAAACAAATTTAATTCCTTCAAGTTCCTGTGGTGTGTTCCCCACCCCACCCCACCCCATGTTCTCGCGGAGGCAGACTGTTAGTCTCTAGAGGGTGGCTCATAGTGGCAGAGCAAGGAGTGTTACTACCGTCTCCTGAATTATTTACTGGACTGTTTTTAAATAAGTGCAATGTAGGCGCCCATTTATTTTCTATCGGGGGTGAATATTGTCGTCCGAGCAATTGTTCAAGCTGCCAATGAATTAAAATTGGGTGTCCGGGTGGGGCCCGCTGCCGGGCTCAGCCCGGACCAACCGAGCTGGTTGGGGCGGGGCGGGGCGGGTTTCCAGGATGCAGCGCTGGCCGGGCCCGCTGCACGCCGCCCGGTTCCCATGACGCGTGAAAATAAAATAAAAGCGAGTCTCGCTTGTTTCTGAGTGACAGGGCAGCGCGGTGGTGGGCGCGTAGTGCATCTGAATGTTTGTGTGTTAGTGTGTGTGTGTGTGAGAGAGAGAGCGCGCGCACTACAGACGAGTATTGTGCTGCCCGCATTGATCACACGCCGTGAACTGAAGCTGCACATCCGCGGCAACGCCCTCGCTCGGCCCCGCACCGCCTCCTCCTCCCCGCGCTCCACTCCGGCCACAACCTACCCCAAAGGGGCGGCCCAACCCCGCGCCCCAAAGCAGCTTACCCCGCCGCCGCTTACCCCGCACGGCTGCCGGCGCCGCACTCTGGTCCCGGCCCGGCGCTCTTTGTGTCCCAGAGTTGAATTTGATCCGTACGCTGCCGAGCGAGCGATTCACGCCCTTCTCCACCGAGGCGGCGCCGGGCGGCGCCAGGGCACGCTGGGGCGTGGCGGGGCGGGGTGTGGCGACGGCGCCCAGCTGCACTATCTATGGTGCACCCGGCTGATGGCGATTGGCCGGCATCGTCTCTCCCGTCACACGTCTTCTGTCGTCGCCCTTCCCGCCGTTGCAGCGCGTCGTGATCCTGGAGACGGGCGGCGCCTGGCTGACGGCTCCTGGAGTCACGGCTCCGGCACTAGCGCCGGGGCGTGGCCGCGGCCGCTAAAAGGAGCAATAACGAGTAACCCGGCCCTTGGGCAACTGGCAACATCGGTTCACGCCTCGCGGGCAACCGGTGCACCGCGGCCGCGGCGGTGGTTGAGCACCCTCGTGGAGTACACTTCAAGGTGCAGCGGCCTGGCGATGCTCCCCCGACTTGACGTGACTGGCGCACCAGGGCGGTGACGAACCTCAACCTCGCCGAGCCCAGCCCATGGCATGGCGGTTTACAGCCATAGCGGCCATGGACCAATCAATTGACCACGGGGCATACGTCCTTCGTTCCGCGCTCTGGCCTGCCCAGCCCAGCCCTGCGCGCGGGAAAAGGGGGGGGGGTCGCTTTTGCCATAGGAGGGAACCACACAGACAGCTCGCGGCCAGGCTGGTGGGTGTGAGTGTAGTGGTGTGTAACAGTTCTTGCCCCGCCGGGAACGTTTCCATCCGCCTGCTGCTGCTGCTGCGGTGTGCTCCATCCTCCTCCTCGTCATCTTTCTTCTCCTCCGTCCCGCTCCCCTCCCCGCCTCGGCCGATGACATGGGGGCGTGCTGGTCCCCGGCAGGCCGGTGCGGTATGGCTTTGGATTTTTTTTTGTCGTGTCCGCGTCATGCGGTTTGCCATGGGAAAGCGGCGGGAGGCGGGGGAGCCCCGCCCCGGCCGTGGTGACAGCTGCGGTGCCGGCGCCCTGCTCGCGCGCCCTGCGCTGTCCTGTGCGCCGCGCGGCCGGAGAGCGGAGGGAATGGAAGGGGAGGGAGGCAAGTTTAAATTAAACTGCCGAGGCTGCACCGGCTGCGCCCTCCCCTTCTCTCCCACCGCCGCGTGCCATGGCAATGAATGGGCGCATGAATGACAGCAGGAGGGCAGGTCGCGAGGAGGGCGGCACGTGTGACTTGTTGCCTACCTGAGCCGCGCGAGGGACGCGCGCTGGACGCCGTTTGTTTGGCCGCGATACTCGGATCGGCAACAGCGCCCCTTTAGGCCCTCTGCGCTCTGCTGCTGGCCGCGCGCTCGCGCCGGCCGGCTCCGTTGTCACGCATTCCTCGCCGGCCCCCAGGCCGCATGCAGTTCGCGCGACCGGGTCCGATGCAACCCTCCCCCCTCCCTCTCTCCCCTTTCTCCGCCGGTTCGGTTCTGGATGACTCTTCCTCCTCCTCCTCCTTGCGCTTTCTCGCACTCGATTCCCTTTTGCTCTGCTCGGCTGCTTCCGATGGCGCGGACTTACTTCTCATACTGGGCGTGGCAGCGCGAGGAGCCGGCCGGCGGTGAGGGGCCTGGCGCGGCCTGGCGGCGTGCCTACGCCCGTACCGGCCCTCCAGGCCCGGCCCGACTCGACCTTGCGCGGCTCGGCTCGTCACGGCGAGGCAGGCGGGCCTAACCGGCTCACGCCCCTCTCTCTCTCGCTCTGCCCCTCTCCCCCTTTACCCCTGTCGTGCACCTCGCCGCCGACGCCGCCGCCGCCGGGTTCTTGTGGCAGCCATGCGGCCGGCGCGATCCTGGCGGCGGTGGTGTGGTGTCGCTCGTGGGGTCAAGTGTGGCGACCTGCTCGGCTGGTCGCCGTCGTCGTGGCCCGGACGCGCCCGCCCAGCTGAGCCGGCTCTCCCCTCACCCTCATCCGCCCCTCCAGCCGGCGCTGCTCGTATTGGCGCCGCCAGCTGCGCGGCATTGGCACGGCTGTATGGACAAACAGCGAGGGGAATGAACAGGAGGGCCGGGCTGGCGCGTGTATGCGATTGCATCGGGGGTGGGAGGGAGAGCGCGGAGGGTGCGCTGCCCCGGCCCCGTGCAGAGGGGCATGCTCGGACGCACACGGCGTATATTTGCTCGGCGAGGTCCGCTGTGAGTCGTCAGCCGCGTGGACACCCGGACGTCCGTCCCGTGCCCGTCACCCCCGCTAGCGGTAGAGTTCCCTGAGTTCCCTCCGCTCCCCTCCCCTCCCCTCCGCTCCCCTCCCCTCCCCGCGCCGGGGCGGGGCAGATGGGGCGGGACGGATCAATCCGCATTTAGTTTGGCAACCGACGCGCCCCCTAATTATCGGCCATTATCGGTCTCCAGACGGTTTCTTCTCCTTCTTATTGTCGCCTGCCAACACCCCGCCCCCTCCCACTCGCAACCCCTTCCTTTCGCGCGAGCGAATGAGCGCTCGCTGCACTGCTGCCGCCGCCGCCATAGCGCAGTGCTATCAAGTTCCTTTCATTCTCTCCTCCCCCATTTTGTTTGTGCTGCTTTTTCTCGCGTGGCGTGGCGCTGGCTGGAAGGAAGTTGGGTCGCTGATACGGCGGGGGCCGCCGTCGCGCAACGTCCTTGCGGGTGACCCGCCCCGCCGCGCCCCGCCGCGCCACGCCCTCCTCTGGGCCACTAGGCCGCGTGCGCGTGCCGTGCCGTGGTTCCGCCCCGAGGTACTTCCCCCCTCCTCCCCTTCGCCCGGCGCTTTACCGGCGGCGCCCGCATTGCGTGGACCGCGCGCGGATGGGATGGGCGATGTCGCGTTTCTCACGCTCAGGCTGGGCGGGGCGGGGCGCGGGTGGGTCGCGGTGAATAGCCGTAAGCGATATCAGACACCCCCCTCCCCCTCCCTCGCATTCCCCTGGGCCCCTCTCGGCTCAACTACACTTTGCGCTTTGCGTTTAAAATGTTTCGCTGTCTGTTGTGCTGGTGGGGAATTCCGCGCTGGTCTCTCTCGCCCTCTCTCTCACACATACTGCACCAGGACGCATTGTCGCGCCCTTCTTTGTAATTAATGTACGTCACTCATTGCCGTGCGTCGTCGCTCACGCGCTCCAGCGTGACTGGTGACGGGAATTGCTGCCCCTCTCGTAAACACAGCGAAACTTTGCGGCCCTGCCATTAATCGAGTTTTTTGTTTCCAATTTTCCAGGCCGAGAGCGAGGTCGCCGCCCTCAACCGTCGCATCCAGCTGTTGGAGGAGGACCTCGAGCGCTCAGAAGAGCGACTAGCCACAGCCACCGCCAAGCTGGCGGAGGCCTCTCAGGCCGCCGATGAGTCGGAACGGTGGGTGTCTGCCCGAGCCGCTGTTTGCGGATACACGCGGCGTCTAATGTGTTTTCTCTGCCTTTTTAGAGGGGGTGGGATGGGTGGGGTGAGTGGTCTAGAGGGCCAGTCTTTCGCGGTCCTGACGACCGGAAGCACTACCGGAGGGGATGCTTCAGCCTGCGTGGGAGGCGGTGCGTGTGGTGTGTTCACTGACAACGCATTGGTAGCCAGTATGAGTTCTAGTTCCTGAACGCTTTTGAGAAACTGTGCTTAGCATATTTGAACGGAAACAGACAGGTCCCGTCTGAGACTATGTGCTCGTGTCCCTCCTGGGACCTCCTGGGACCTCCTGGGTCGTTGCCCACGCACCGCTACCCCATGGGCTGCGATCCCTCGTGGGACGCGACGGGAATCGAAATCCTTCCTGTCGGCCTCTCCCTCCCACCCGCGATCGGAGAGTGCTTGAGAAGAGCTTGACTTTATTGATGAGCTTTAAGTATTGTGTGTTATGTATCCCCCTAATGCTGGGTATTTCCAGTAGTGTTACTGTCCCAATGAACGATTTATTTAATCACTTCCATGTTTTTTTTCTTTGCATTCAATCTGACGAACCGTGTGTCATTTTCTTGGTTTAGTTCAGTCTTTTTCTGAATTGCTTCACCTTTTCATCTAAAATATTTTTAATTTTTTAACTTTATTTGAAATGCACTGAGAGCTGACAACTTTATTCTCTCCCATTTTACTTTTACTTTTTAGAAATGTTTACATGTAAAATCTTTTGCATAGTTAAATGATACCCTTTTTTGCTGATACCGTATTAAAGTCTCTTCCATTGACTAACACTGCTAAAGTTTGAACAAAAACATTCCTGGAAATCCCTCATCTAACCCATTTACCGTGTGGTTTGTAGGATACGGAAGGCCCTGGAGAATAGGACAAACATGGAGGATGACCGAGTCGCTATCCTTGAGTCCCAGTTAGCACAGGCCAAGCAGATTGCTGAAGAGGCCGATAAAAAATATGAAGAGGTAAGGGTGTGGTCACAGTTCTTGCTAGTTCTTTTACAGGTGCTGATGTTGCTGTCCGAGTCGCTGTCTTCATCAGACAAGGGTGCCCATGTTAGTTAGCTGGTGTGCTTCTCCTGTGACCTGTAATGCATCAATGACAGCAAGCAAGGAATATAAAAATAATTTTTATTTTCCTATTTTTGAGTTTAAAATCAAATTCAAAGCTATAGTTTAGTTGTAATTTTTCCGAGTTGACCTCATTGATGCATTATACCCAGTAATGATGAGGAAATTAGGGACAAACAGTTTTCACTGGCAAGAAACAACAAGGTTTTGAAGTTTTGTTACTCTGTAAATTATAATATCAACTGTATGGAGACAAATTGTTTTCCTAAGAGTTCCTCATGATTGCTTTACCATACCAGTTGACTCCATGGTGTCTCTTTTGGGGGTTTTGTCTTGATTCTAATGGTAGTAGCTACAATGGTCTCCCACAGTGCACGCAAGATCCTGGAAAACCGCAGCTTGGCAGATGAAGAGCGAATGGACGCCCTGGAAAATCAGCTGAAGGAAGCCAGGTTCATGGCTGAGGAGGCTGATAAGAAATATGATGAGGTGATTTCTCATTATGGTAGCTTTTGGTTTGGCATGTGTGTACGCCTTATGCCAAAAGTATCTCAGTGTTCTTCACAACCATCATCCTCAATTTTACATTTTGTAAAATTTGTATGGAGATATCAGGCTCATAACCTTGCATTCCGTTGCTCTTTGACTGATAATTTTGTTTTTCGTCTTTTTGTTTGTTTTGTATTTTAACAGACCGAACACCATGGAAAACTTATACTTTCATCGTCTTCGTCCCTTTTCAAAAGTGAATAGTGTGTGTTTGTGTTTTTAATGGCATGTAAAACATGCTCAGTGCCATTTCTCAGCATTCTTATGAGTGCAGAAAGTGCCAAAGTGCCCTAGTGCACTAGTGTTTCATTATCAATATATCAGTGCGCTAAAATGTGATCAAAAATGTGTAGTGCTTTTCTACCAGTGAGTGATAATATTCAGTGTCATGAAGAAGTATGAAATCCTAGTGAATGTGCACCAAACAAGTGAAAGCATTATGAAGTGGTGTGTTAATTTCATATCTTCATACTGTGAAAGTGATGGGGATCGAGGGATGGTGAGAGAGGGTTAGTCATAACTGGTCAGTGCTCCGACTGTTAATTTAGTGTACCAATGAATTGTGAAGGAACAGCAACTTTAAAACTAAAACTGTAGCATGCTTGCCCCTTGGTGGCTCCTCTTTCTGTGGCTACAACATCTTTGAGTACGTAATAACTTTTGTTATTATCTGTTTGTAATGGGTTAATTTTGCTGTGTTCTTATTCAACTTAATTTCCTTCCATGGTGATCGGGCAAGTTTTTGGTCTAACAAGAAATTCTTGTTGGCCATTTTGCCAAGAGCATAATAATAGAATAGCTGGCTCTCTACCCCATGTAGTTTTGCATGGCTGGACAATACTATTTAATATCCAGTATTTTATCTGAACCCTTTCAAATTCCTAGACCAATATGGATAGCTATTTTCAGATTCCTATTAAGTGCATGCTTTGAACTACTAACTCTTTCCCCTATCTGGAGAGATCTTTTAACCATTTTTGACTGAATTTTTTTCTTTTTTGTACTGAGCATGTCAGGTCAATCTTTTAATGAATTGCAATTGGCAATTCAATTTAATAGTTATTGACTAGGTAATTAAATACTAAATCTGTACTGTAGTCTCTCAAAGTACGTACCATACAACTTTGGTGCTGGAATCCATTTTGTTTCTACATTACTGTAACATTTTAATTTGTAGTAGATGCAGCATAATGAATGTTTGTACGCATCATATTGTAGTGGAGCATTCAAATATTAGGTAAGACTTTGACATCTTTTGCTAGGCTGCAACAGTTGCAACTAGAGAGACTATCTAGTTGCAACTGCCGGTGTCAGCTGCCTGTAATATGAATGTCAGATTGCTATGTAATATTTATGTTCCCTTGTGGGATCTTGATGGCAGTCTCTTTTGCTAGTCATCCTACTACAGTATAATTTTGCTTCCTTCATTTTAGGTGTATACAAGTGTTAAGTTCTTGGGAATATAGAGTAACTCTAGCGGGATTTGTTTATGTATTTTTAATTTGCTGGGTTCATATACATTTTTGCAAAAAAGTTTGAATTTCTTACATTTTTAGGGTTCAATCAACTTCAAATTATCCTAGTCAGTTTTTTTATCTTTCTCAAAGACTACATATTATGGGCTGTTGAATTATGTCTTCCTTGAAGTTTTCATGGACTTCTTTTGTCTATTTTGAGTTAGGAAATAAAATGATATAACACAATTTCCTCTGATTTGTGTTTATACATTTAACTTGAAATGCTTGCCTTGATAATATCCATGTGTGATTTTTGTTCTTCGGCTTACCCTTTGGAGAGCTGGATGCTTGGTATACATCTTACAGCTACTTCATATGGGTTATTGTTTTGCAATTATTGTTTGAATTGAGTGGCGTGCCTCATTAATCTGTGATTGTGTACCAATGTTTCAATAATTACATGATTTACAAAAAAATTATCTATACTTGAACATAATTCATTTTTAATAAATAACTTATAAGACAAAGACAGGAGACAAGTTTATTTAAGGGTTAGTATTCTAAAATGTTCGCATCTAATTCATATGATCTATCTAATTGACAAAAAATTTGGTAATTTCTTCTTGAAATGTGAAGAAAGTTTTGTTGAAAATTTCCTGAAAGATGGCATTTTAAAGGAGAAAGATGAAAGTACCTTTGAAGAGCAGTAGTGAATTGCGCATTTTCCTACAGGTTGCCCGTAAGCTGGCCATGGTTGAGGCTGATCTGGAACGTGCTGAGGAGCGTGCTGAGTCAGGAGAGGCGTAAGAGTCTTGTGTGTCTATGTTTGTGTGCATGCCATTGCCCCCAGTGGTGTGACAGTCTCATGCACCTTTTCCCAACCACATTAGTTTCTTAAACATGAGTTTTGGATAACCCCAGTTGGCTTAGAAATTTTGAAGCTGGCACTATGTACGTGCTTTTTTCACTTTCCAAGCTAAAGGAGATGATCAATTAACAGTGTGTTCGAGTGAATCTGTGCTAACTTTTTAAACAGGTTTCTATTTGCAGCACCATTGGGCAAAAGCAGCTGCACTGTGATCCCTAATTATTTTGTTTTCATATGTTAACCATGTTGAAAATATTAAATCAGCTTATTTTGAACAATAAGGCATCATTGTATTGTTGAATACATCTGATAATTTGTCTGAAAGCAAAATAATCAGTGTTGGTCAAGCTTGTTTTGCACCGCTCAATGTAGTGCATGAATATTTATTTTGCACGGCGTGAATCACATGTGTGTCGCTTCTCCAGGTTGCTCGTAAACTCGTGATGATGGAGCAGGATCTGGAAAGAGCTGAGGAGCGAGCAGAGCTCGGAGACTCGTAAGTTATTCACGCTTTTGGCTTGCCACAACCTTATCTTACAGTAAATGAACTGCCTGTTGTTTGGTGTGCTAATACGTAATTCAATCATACTTCTAATATAATTACACTTCAAAATAAGTTGTAGACTATGATGATAAAAAATATTGAAATAAAATCAGTATATATTCTATTCAATTTATAAGATATAGGTCATATTACAGTTATAGTTTGCATCAATGAGATTTGTCTGATTCATTTCCTTTGCTCTTCAGGAAAATTGTGGAGCTTGAAGAGGAGCTGCGTGTTGTTGGCAACAACCTGAAGTCCCTCGAGGTTTCAGAAGAAAAGGTAAGCTTTTAAACTACATTTTCTATCAACCTATAAGTGAAAATTTTTATTACTATTGACATGCTTAATTGCATAACAATCATCACAGTTTTATCTATCCATGGTTTTGTATTTGTCTTGAATTGGCAAGAAACTTAATGTGTGAGTTCTTTTTTGAAAGTTCTCCAATTTCACATTGCATGAATTTTTATTGGGTTCCGGAGATGAAGAATTATTTTTAGGGTATTTCTTAAATGTTTTCCAATGAACCAACAGGCCAACCAGCGGGAGGAGGAATACAAGCAGCAAATTAAGACCCTGACCAACCGGCTAAAGGAGGTACCGTCTTGTGTGCTCCTCGAACCAGCCTAGAGCCCCATTCCCCATCCATTTTCCATCCCTACCCCCTTTTCATTTACCTTTCCTGGAGGGAGCCTGTAAAATCTGTCCAGATTTTGGCTTCTTTGCCCAACCTACTGAAGCCCTTGCCTGCATGGGTTTTGATTGTTTCAGTGTTGAGGCAGCTTCATATTGCAGGTTGCTGTGATTGCTCACTTTTAACATTCCGTTTCAGCACCATGTGTTCCAGCTCTTCCAATGCTTCCTGTGTTGCCTTGTGTGCCCGCTCTTATGCATGGCCCTGTTCAATCCAGTGTAGTATTGGTTTTAAACTAAAATTCGTGTTTGTATTTTGTTTCATGGTTGTTGACTCATAACAGGCCACTGCCACCAATGAGATTTGCGAGGACAAAATTCAATTGATATCCGATAAACTGAAGGAAGTAAGTACAGTTTATACGTATATCAGTATTCCATTTAAGTACAATTTAAGTTGGAGCTACAAGTTTGTTTATGAGGTGGGCCCCATTGGGTTATAAATTTGTGTTATTTTTCAAAACATGATCTTGTGCAAGGAAAGGTGTGTCAGGAAAAACAATTAAATTAGATTCCTATCCAAATCTGAATATTCTTTCAGTTCATATGAGCAATGAGTGCCCAACTTGTTTTCTTGAGTTGCTTTCTAGTCGTACAGTTTATTTGCAAAGTGTTCATAGACTTTCAACAGGCTTGTATTAGCAGTTTTTTTTCTCTTCTAGAACTAGTCGTACAGTTAATTTGCAAAGTGTTCATAGACTTTCAACAGGCTTGTATTAGCAGTTTTTTTTCTCTTCTAGAACAATTAATTTAATTTTAATAACTGCCAAGTCTATTTACAATTCACAAAAGAATTTCTATAATTGACAGCATTGGATGCTATCACTGCTTTTGTGTGTGTGCTAGTACACAGCTCTTCAATATCACTTACTTCTTCCAAGTTGCATGCACCTCTAACACTTCACCATGCTTCAGGAAGTTGGTATCTTATTATGTAGAAATCTATACTTATTGGTTTTGTAAAGATTATGATTAAGTATCCAGCCACTTCACTCAAGACAGAGAAGATTGGCTGTGATTTAATGGGATTGGGCATTTTGTTAATTGTGAGTCACTTTTATTTAATAGTGCTTGCAACTGTGAAGCTGCCTCAACCTAATATATCCTTATTCCCTCCCCAATCTACCTCATGACACCTTATACACCTGCATGCCTTAAATACTCTATGGTAATAAGTCCTGTTTTAATGAGATCTGGAGAAAAACTGCAATCATATTAGTGATGTAAAGTACTGTAGTTATCTAACTTAGATACTATGGTAAAAAGCAGAAAGTTTCCAAGATCTTATCAAAATCTTTCTTACTGTTGAGAAATCTTTCTCATAAGTTAAATCTAACTTCCTTACCCTTCTCACAAATTTTAATTACATTATTATAACTAATGTTGATAAGTCTGTTTCAAATATTATTTTGTCTTTCAGGCTGAGGCAAGGGCTGAGTTTGCTGAGAGGTCCGTGCAGAAGCTGCAGAAGGAGGTTGACAGGCTTGAGGGTAAGTATTTCTTTATGCAAAGCTGTCTTAAATATCTTGTATTTCTATTGTTTCTAGGCAAAGATTTTTATTATTCAAGTTATTCTGTTATGTCAAGTTTATTTTTCACAAATCAATTTTAGGGTTGAAATGGGTACTTAGTGGGGAGTTATCCAGGGTTAGGGAAAGTCATCAACAAGTAAGACTTAAAAGGCCAGCACTTATCAACAGGATTATTCTCAGATTCCCTATTGTTTGGCAATGCTGTAACAATGTGTCGCCCTGGTTTACTTGTGCCGATTTTCTAACAACCAACCCAGCATTAGAATATTGCTTAATCCTCCCCTGAACATGTAGTGTTCCTTAAAGGAACATGTCCATTAGCAGCAACATTAAGTCCTAACACACATGAAGCCCTGTCATAAAGTTGACCCCATTGCATGTTGAAGTGCTGTTTTCGAAATTATCTGAAACTATTTGTTTATTTTTGCATGCACCTTGCAATATGATTTTGGCAAGCCGTCTTTAAGTTTCGCTATAAACTGTTTGCTCCTTATTTGTTGTGTTTAATTTTGCATTTTCCCCTCACACAATTGTATTTTTTTTAAAATTTACTTTGTTGTGGAAAATGAGTGTGTGTAATTGTGATTTTGCAAGTGTGTTGTATTCTGCGTGCGCTTTTTGCTGATTGCAATATGTTTTCAGATGACCTGGTTGCGGAGAAGGAGAAGAACAAACTCCTGCAAGAAGAGATGGAAGCCACCCTGCATGACATTCAAAACATGTAACCTGTCCCTGCTGCACCCCCAGTGCACCCGCATGCACATTGTGTTGTAGGTTTGATGTTTTTTGTTTTATTTTTAAATTTCATTTCCTATTTTTCTAATACTTATGTGTACATAACGCCATCGACTACATCAAGTGAAAATCTTTTACGCCAATGACATCAGTGGCATATTATGAAGGAAGTGTCAGGTTTGCGATTCTCTTCTGGTTCAGTATTAACTTGTAGTGGGTTCTAAACATTCTATTTTCTATTAAACCATGTTCAAAGAGATCCTACTGCCACCTGCAGTAATCAAAGTTTTGCGCTTTTTATCCATTTTGATAGTTATCATACAAAAATTGTTAGGCTGCTTACCATTCCTCAAATTACCTTGTTCACCATCTCATTTATAATGTCATACATTAGGCTACAAAGCTTGTTCTCTTGGATACTGAACATGCTTCCCATGGTCATATTACATTTTTGTGATAGCTTTAGACCTAACAATTGCTTGTCATCCCAGTATTACTTAAATGCATGACCTATTATTACTTTGTAAGTTTCAATTTAGCACCATTGGCAGCACCATTTATTAAGTCTGACAAACATAATTTGGACCATTGCATTAGAAAAGGGTGCATTTTAAGGCCAGCAAATTGTAGTAAAAGATTTTCCAGTTTGTCTCATGTGATAATGAGTTATACAAAAGTCACCTCAGTATTGGTATTTTAAAAGGTGAAATAGCTTCTGCGGTGTGGCTTGATGACTAGTAATTAACATAAGAGTAACACATTTGAGGATCTTATCAACTTGGCCTACTTGTGTTCAGTTCATAATTTGGATTAATTGTTTGTATTGTTAGAATGAATTGTAAATTGATATTCATATAAATACTTATCTTTCATCTTAAAGATGTAAAACTTGTTCTGAGGGCAGTGTGCCCTGTATGTTATTAAAGGGAGAAAATTTAGTCAAAGCTTCAGTCTCTGTGTTTTTTTCTTGTTCCAATTACAGAAGGCTTTTTGGCCTGCTCTTAATCTTGTGATCATTCAAGCTTCTTTGCTGTTTTAATGATCATAAGTCTGAATGATTTTATCAAATTCTGTGTAGTTCACAAGCATGTGCCAAAATAAGGGGAATATATCAATAAGTTAAAAGAAAATATTAACTTTCGACATAATTTAACTTGTGCACACTCATCTCCATACATTTCACATTTCTCTCAGTGTTCTGCTTTACACAACTTCACTTGGCTCTCCAAAATTTCCATTTGTGCTTGTTACCTTGTCTATCAAAATTGTGAGTACAGTATACTTACCAAGCTATCAATCTAAAAAAAAAAAAAAAAGGCTCCAACAGGACTTTTCGTTTTTTTGTGGATTTTGATAGCAACTTTACTTAAATTTGTTTTTGAAGCAACATCAATGGAAGTTTTGGAAAAAAATAGGTGAAGAAATGGTGTTGACTTGAGCTAACAGCGCTTTATATTTGGCTTTCAGATGAGATTGTTGCTGAAAAGGAGAAATACAAGGAAATTGGAGATGGCTTGGATTTAGCCTTCGTAGAATTGTATGATTTCTAACGTTAGGCTATGTGCGTGCGTGCCATCACTACTCGCCCTCTCATCCTCACCATTCACTGCTGTTAATTCTGAGAATATCTCTCAAGAGTAACAGCAAAGTACTTTTCATTGTTGTGTACAGTGCAATTGCCACTTTGAAATTTTTAAAATAATGAAGTTGCTTTCTTCATTCATTTTTATCGTTGGCTCGTTCTAACACTACCATCACAGCTTTTTGTTTTCTTTTTATATAACCTATGTGATTTGATTCTCATATTCCAAAATACTTGTCTTTTTTAAGAGGTGGTGTTCCATATAAAATGGAAGAGCTTTATGGATAACTTAGAGATTATCCTATTGTGTCGTTTTGTTGGATATGTTACAAATTGTTAACACTGCCCAAGCATCAAATGATCTTGAAGGTCCATTTTCTCTTTGCAAGTCTATTATTAATTCACAGCTTCTAGATGTAGACTTTTAAAAACTGTTACGTTTGCTACGTATTTGTGGAAACATGCTGAAGCGTGAGTTCATACTTGAATGTGATTAAGGAAGGGGCTATGAAGTACTGTTGCAAATTCTTTTTGGTCACCTAAGACTGGGGTTCATTTGAAACAACTCTAGTGGAGTGACTTGCTTTTCATGCTTCTGCTTATTTTTAACGTTTAACCTTGGGAGATAAAATCTGAGTTGGATGGGAGGATAGTCAGCTGGTCAGAGTTTTATTTGTATCTGGAATTTCTTCCTTATGAGAGTAGGTGATTCATCAACTGATCAATTGTTTTAAATCTATCCGGAAAAGTGATTTGCTAGCTTGTTGTTGTACAGTTTTGAACTTGCTCCTTTCATCAATTGTTATCAAACAGTAAAACATGATTGAGGGTTTAAGCCAGTTCCTTCTGTACATTTTCCCCTGTAATTATACATAATTTATATTACAATGGGTTCATTACTTCTGCAGTTAAGGTTTGGGAACTTTTTGACCATAACTGCTACCTTAATGACTTTTTTTTATTAAATATATATTTTGAAATGAAATTATTATTTTTTGTTTATTTATTATCATGCGTTAATGAGCTAATGTATGTGTTGCCTGGATCCTGCAGATGAGCTGGTCCACGAGAAGGAGAAGTACAAGTACATTTGTGATGACCTGGACCAGACTTTCTCTGAGCTGGTTGGCTAAGTGTATCCATCTTCCAAAAGTCATCTTGAAATCTGCCCCAATCACTGACTTATTATTGTTAAAAATGGGATCTATTTAATCTGTCTTCATTATTCTCTGTAAATTATTTTTGTTAAAGCTATTTAGTACTTCCACACATCTTGAGACTCTTTATGTACACTTAATGTAAGTCAAGCATTGTACCATGTAAAAAGAAGTATTTTAAAAATTGGTGCAGTATATACTTCCAAAACATCCTCAGTTTTATTTATTATTGTTTTTTCATTTAATCCTTTTTATTTACCATTATCATTTATTTAATTTCCTTTCTGCTACCAGCACTGTGCACAATGTATTTTTGTTTTTGTTTTAGGACATTGTATTTCTTACACATTCTCAATTAGAAAGCAAAGAGCCTAGACTTATTAGTCTAACGTCTTTTGCAGATTTTCAGATATATTGTTATGACAATAATGTTGTGAAGAGCTGTAGTTAGCCTAGGAATGGGGAATTAAATAAATGGAGTGGTCGATAGCTTTGTCCCTTTCCTCCATTGCCTTCTCAGATGTCTTACTGATGCAGAAGAGGACAACACATTTCAATGAATCGCAACAGGACTCATCTTACTTCTACACCAGCCGCACACACCGCTGAGCTCTTATCTTTTATTTTACATTACAGTTTAACAATTTTAGGTTTTCAGGCACATTCCAATATAGCTTGTCATGTTCCAGATTTTTTCAAGGTAAAGATGTGGTGTGTCCTTCGGCTTTGTTCATGCCATACAGTACCGTAGTTTGAATGTTGAAGTAGCACAATGTATTTATTTAGTACTGATTGCTTAGTACAGTAGATAGTTTTTCCGCGTAGACGTACACCCACACACTTGCACACACTCCGTCATTCTAATACCCCGTATGCTGTTATTAGTCCAGGGGATGAAAACCTGGTTTGTCACATCCATGAAGACACTACAGGGAAACTAAGAGTGTTTGCTGCCGCTGAGTGTAGGGCCTTTCATTTACACTTGACTCAATTTCTTGATGACTGATTTTAAGGGTGAGAAATTCTGAAGGTATTACTAACTCTTTCAAATGTTCCACTTCTGGCAAAATCAAAACAACTTGCTTCCACCCTGACTAATGTGTAACTGTCTTGGCCTCTAATCCATCTAATGTAATCAAAATATATGCTCTTTTCCATCCCTAGCTAACGTATGTGTGCCTGTTGCAGAGGAACTGGTGAAAGAGCGAGCTCGATACAAGGCCATGGCAGACGAAATCGAGATGGCAGCATACTAATTACACGAACTCGAACAAAGTCAACTAACTTTCCCTTTCTCTTTCTGCTTTCAATTTCGATTGTGACTTCATCGCGATTACGATTTCACTGCCCATTTACATGCCAAACACGGAGCTCTGTTCGCGTTTCTCGGAGATGACCCTCTTCTACTTGGCAACACGATTCTTGTCTAAGGTCGAGGGAATGCCAACACCGTGGATCCTGCAAGAGCGCATGCACAACTGAAGATAGTCCTCGACCATCACAAATAACCTGAATCCTGGGCATGGACCTAGCAGACTTGTATGACTGTTGGTTTTTATGTTAGTTCTTTTTGTATATGAAGTTTTGTCTGGCTGAACGGCCTAGGCACGTGATTGAGAAACATTCCAAAGCCAAATATGTGGTGTAGTTAGATATTGGCTCAATGTTGTAAAATTAGATGCCCTATGGGGTATTTAAAAAGAGTTCTTTAAGTGTTCACTGGTTACTACATTGTTCGCTTTAAATGTTCAGTCTGCTTCGATGTAGAAAATTCCTTGTCCTTCAAGGGTTTTTTTTTTTGGCTAATTGGTTCACTGAAAGGAAACCACGGCAAACGTGTGTTTATGTGCAACTGCATGCCAGAATGCATGTGTACTTATTGTGGCTGATGACTGACAATGTTCAAATTTGCGTATTCTTAAAGTTATATGTGTAATTGCTGTCTGTATGGTGCATATATGGAGTACCATGGGTGCACTTTTCATGCAAAGATTAAATCAGTCAATTTTCACATTGTGATTTTTTGAAGAGCTTTTTTTCTTTTGTCTGAACATTATGAAGCAGAGTGAGGATAAAATTTTCACAGCTATTCTATTGTAGATTTTTCTTATTGTTTGTATTTTTCCTTATTAGTTCTATCGTGAATTGTGAGATCCTCTTTTTCAAGGTGATTCTCAAAGTCCGCTGAAATTAGGGTCAAACTCATGATTCATCCTCATTCTTTTTTAAGAAATTGTTTTTTTTGCTTAGCTTATAATTGACCACTCTAGGTCAGTTAGCCTGGTTTCTAACAACACATTCCAAAATGCACACTCTGGGCTAATACTGTTTTAGAATCGTGCCACTTGTTGGTAGACTTCCTAGTTTTACGATGTGGCTATTTTTGTAATTAGGTCGCCCTGCTGCATACAAAGGAACTGTGGTAGGATAACTTTATCCTCTTTGCACTTAAATATAGGTCTATAAGAAAATGCTTGCAAAATTGACAATATACTCAGGGATGTTTATTTCAATACATTAATTATCTATGCCGGTTCTCTGCCTACCTTTGAAGAAAAATTTGAAAAGCGTCAGAGGATTGCTGAGGGAAAGGACTTTTAAGCCCATCTTTTATGGCTGCAGCATCTGCTATGCAGCCAAATCAAATCATTAAAAAAAAGAAAGTGATTGTACACCCTCAAAAGTGAGCTGAATGTGTTTGCATCGAAATGAAAATAAAAAACTGTTCAAAATTTGTAAACCTGTATGGCTTATCCCTGACTGATCACTTGAGCAAATAACATAGAACACAACACACAGCACTTTATACAAAATGCCACAAGTTGGCAATAAATAAAAACATATTTGTATGTTATTGTTTTAAAAATATGTTATTCGGCACTTGCAATGACCATATTTTTATGTTACATTTTTGAAAGGGAGGGGTGGGTACCAGTAACATTGCTACTAAATATTTAGGCTTCATATGAAGCCCATTGCGCCGAAATGAAGCTCACGTTTCAGTAAGAGTCCATCCAGACTACACATTTTTCCAAAAATCATAAATGTAGTAGAGAAGAAATGCTATCAAAACATGGAAGGGAGTAAAGCAAGTTGACATGAGGGAGGGGTACACATTCCCTCGGGTCTGGGCTTCCGCACGGCTCCGGGCCGGGACCATATCGAGTGTCCGTCTACGAGGGAGTTGGGATTGAGAGCGGCGGGAA